AAATACTACTAAAACTAAGCTAATTAACCAGTAACTAAAATACAACAAGCAAAGGCATTAAAACCACCACATCACCGACAAGAAAACTCTCTAAACTAATTGTACCCACCAAACTTATTAATCAACACAATAGTAAAAATACAAACTACAAAAGGCAAGACCTTGATTGATATTTGACTGTCATAAATCACTTAAACTAGATTCTAATAGAATCCAAGAGCATGACGGTACTAAGGTTCATAGGGTGCATATACTCGGAGGAACCAGTGAGGATCTGATTAACAATGATCCTATTGGCTTTCTCTGTTGGATGAAACGCATCCCAAAACGCATATAAGTCTCTGTTCGGACACAAGTTCGAGATTGGTGTGCATAATCCTATGCCATTGTACGGTCCTTGTCCACAACATGCCACCTTCGATGTCACAAAACCTACACATGCACACACGTATTTACATGTGATTGTTCAAAGGGATGTATATGGATTTTTCCATATATACACATACACAAAATTATAATATTTAAATTTTATCATTTGTAGAATTTGTGTTGTACAGTCCTTCTCTCCAGAGACAGAAATAAATGCTTACAACTACTATATATTTTGTTTATGTCGCGTTTAGAATATTTTCGAGTGAGGTTGTGAAAAAAAACCATTCAAAATGGAACTATTTAGACCAGACAATTCCTTTTATGAAAATCTCTTATTAATATGATACTGCTTATGTATAGAAACCGACACACATACGTATTAATCACTTATTATATTATATATAGTTTTTTTTTTATTTGAAAAAGTGTGAATTGTAATCAGTTTTATGTATAGATGTAATAACATGTATGCATAAAAAGATGGTCCTACAGTGGTCATGCTCATTTATATGATTTCGTACAATAGAACATGGTCCTTTATTTTTATATTAAATCTTATTGGTCAATTTCATTGGATCAATCTTTCATTGAGTTGGTACCTTTATCAATAACTAAACTTTTTTGAGTATTTTCCATTATCAAATATTTATATTTATGATTAACTACTAAAAGAAGTTAGAGAGATAGGTTATAATTACCGAATTGTTCTGGGTTAGAGAGATAATCCATGTTCATTTGATAGGCATTGGCTGCTACAAAAACATCCTGACCAATCTCAGCATTGATTGATGCGATCAAATCAGCTAATCGTGGATTGAACAATGCCGCAGCTGTTTGGAGGGGACCATAGCATTCGCCATTGCGGCTATGCTGAGCCAGTTCCGCGGGTGCACATCCCATCGCACCAGTTCCGGTTACTAGAACTCGTCTTGCGCCCAACTCGTATAGTTTCTATGTCAACAAAAATTAAAGAAGAAATATAATCATCCACTATGAAAGAAAAATATATTATCACTAAGATATGGTTACATTTTTTTTTGTCAACATAGTTACTACATTTTAAACTGTTTAAATAAATGATAAACTATTAAATATGCCCCCATCATATTTTTATAAGTTATGTTCCCTCTTTTCAAGAGAATAATGACATTAACTTCTTTTTTTGTCAAAATAATGACATTAACTGTATATCGTGACATAGTGAAATAAATGAGTGGGGGCTCACTTATTAAGTGCAATTTCCTATAGTGAGACAATAATTCAATAAGCTAAATGATAATGTAAGAATCAAGATTCTATGATTTTAACTAATTTCGTGTCATGTAAGAATCAAGATTCTATGATTTTAACTAATTTCGTGTAAGTCACCCATTTATTGTATGACACATTCAATAATTCAGTACTGTATATCACGTGAAAAACAAAACAGAAAATGGGTTTTGTTTTTTCCTTACCCTTAGAATCTTTCCGTATTCAGAAATGAGATACACAACGTAGTCCCCTAATGCGAATTGGCGAGAACGAGCTGAAAAAGGAACGACATAATAATTGTTGACGAAATCGTTGCCACCGAGTGTGATTAAGACAAGAGCTTGGTTAACTAGTTGCTGTGTAGCTTCTGGTCCGATCAATGCACCCAATCGTTGCTGGTACTGTTCGAAGTATTCGAATTGCTTGAAAATTCTAATAATGTTTACCTGCCAAACAAAAACATAATTAACAATATGAGTTATAAAACCAAAACAAAAAAATACAACGAGTCAATATATTAATGGTGAAAGACTAAGATGGCCTCAGTTTTAACAATAGTGTTCAATGAATATTCAAGGACAAATCTCCTCATGAGTTTTTAGGTTTTCCGGTGTAACTTTCAAAAGACAGATATGCCCTCAGTGTTAAACCTGTCAGTTTTTTTGTTAGTTAGTATTGTTAATATTATTCGGATAAGAGTTAGTGGAGAGGGTAATAACGTCCTTTTCCCGCATTAATTTTCCAATGATTATGCTTTATTTAATGCACTAATTTAATAATTATCGCAGTTGCTTACGAATTGAATTCCGGTGTCATTGAGGATTCCAATTCCGGCGGAGGCGAAATTAGCACCGACGAGAAGTTTTTCTCCGGTGAGCTGAGGACTAAGGTACGGCAAAGTCGAAGGCATGCCTATAGCCTCACCTAGTAGAGAGAAACATATTAAACAATCGTTAGAGATTAATCAAAAGAACCATAATGGTATAATCATTAATCTTATGCTTACTGATAATGTCGGGAATGTTAAGGCCATTAGAGAAACGTCCGGTGGGTCTACGGGTCGGATAATCGATACCATACGGATAATTGTCGGCGCGAGCAGTGGTGATAAGGTAATCATTGTTTCCATTGTCGACGAGAGAGTCACCGAAGACGAAGAAAGCCCTTGATTGGACTTGAGGTGCAAGAAAAGTAACAATGAATAAGAGTGAAATTAGAACCCCAAATGGAGAATAATTGATATGCATAGTTATGGAGAGATAATTGGACTAGATGACGAATGAGGAGAAATGTTTTAAATTGACGAATAATGTTAGAGCATATGGAAGGTGTTATTTATACACTGACAATGGGATTTAAAGGTTCA